GGCATTCTTTGACCAACTTCAAATTGATGGGTACTCAGTGATGGTCTCTTTTAGTGCTGCTTGACTATCAACTTATATGATGAAGAATTTGCAACAAAAAACTAGAAATGTATTTTATTTCTATGGTGTAAATTACATTAGAACAAAACATTTCAAATGTCCATCGTTCAGTTGTCACTTTTAAGTTCTTCAGCAAGAGCTTATTATAGTAAAGCTCATTGGTCGAATGTTTTCTTCTTTAGATAAAGTGGCTTTCTAGATTTAAATATGATTAAGGATATATAACATAAATATATAACGATATTAATGAAGAAAAGATGGAGAAACGAAAAGGCAGATAAAATGGCTTAAGAGATTTTATTAAAGTCATTCATACAATACATTCATTGAATGATAAACCCTTCAGCAGTGATTCAAAAGTAATTACAAAAATTGCCAACAAAATAGTTTGGTTGTTGTGAAAAAATGTACCAGCACAAAGGCTGTCAAAACAGTTCATTGTAAAACACTAACCTACTTGGCTACACACACCCTATTAAGAACAGCAAGGAATAGAGGGAAGTATGTTGATATCGTCGTCAATCTTCAATAATGAAGAAAGCACCTAAAAGAAGAAAGAATAATGAAAAAAACTAATAGTATCCTATGTTTTCAAGTATTAAAAGTTTTCTATTCTCGTGATCCTAGGTAAGAAATCATAATAATATATCAAAATATATAAAAAAAGAAAGAATTTATTGGGAAAGTCTACAGTAAGATTAGCCATGAAACATGACTAAAACATGACTTGACAGGTTGCTGCATCTGGCAGGTTGAATTAGTCAATCCTCCGATATTTTAGCCATATTGCCAGGAGTGGCAAATATTATCTCCCCAGATGATTCTATGCAAAAATTGTATTAGACTTTTTTGAAGAGGCGTTAAAGTTGTACTGGCGTCTAGAATTTCGTTTTATTTGGAATGGACTTTAATTTCGAGGAATTATTTGGATGAAAATTGGTGTCTGGGGTTTTTTTGACATGAGAAATTTGATTTTGATGTCCATATGACTCCTACTTGTAGAGGGCGCCACCAACATATTTTTTAACTGTTTTGAACAGTAATAAGTTTTCGTCCGTACCTGTATAAAATCTCTGAGAAAAAAACATATACATTTACGACTTTTTTTTACGTAAAAAAGGTCTCTTGATAAAAATCGCTACGAGTAATGGTTCTCGAAATATTTAAAATCGAAATTATCAATACCTGTCATAATTGACATAAATTAAACATGTCGACTTTAACTTAAGTTATTAGACTGAATTCATAAATTTGAAATGTTTTTGTGCCAAAACTTCAACAGAAACTGTTTAATCATCATTTTTTCGCAGAAAAATTTGATTAATTTAAAAAAATTAAAATTTCTCAAATTTATTATTATATTTCAGTCAAATAACTATCTACTCAACGTATTTATACCTAATTTTTGTCCACATTGACATGTATTGACTTTGAAATATCTTGAGAACGGTTGCTCATAGCGATTTTTATCCAGAGACGCTTTTTACGTAAAAAGTCACTGAAATGTATATTTTTTCACCTAGTAGTTTTATACACTTGATGACTTTTCATCTAAATACTGACATTACTTCAGAAATTATTTAGGAAAAAATCGAAATAAAAATGAAACTTCTACATACTGTATCTCCGAAACTAAGCATTTCAGGACATACAACATGTATAGGAACTTTTTTACTTACTTTTATCTGCAGAATATGCTGTCAAAGTTTCCGGAATACAGTTCGGCCCACCCAGTATATGCACTTTAAAATTCAATACGCCATTGCCAGAGAAGAAATGAAAAAAGAGCTATTTTGCTTACGCTAAACTCTATAGACTAGTAAAAATAGTTTACTTTAATCGATTTTCCATTCAACAAGGTTTAATATAAATACGTCTTGTATATTGTGCTATAACTCACCGAAACGTCAAAAACAATTTCCATCCCCGCCATTAACGGGAGAGAGCGGCAGCGCGGAGGCATCTTCTCCTGGACCGCGCTTCTCCGTTAATATCTCAGACAAAGTGTCGTTCCATAGATCATGGGACGGGACGGCGCGCCCGTACGTCATCCCTATATGGACAGCTTTACTGCTTCACAGAAAACGGGTTTGAAAGATGGCCGCCAGCAGGTCACGAGTGCGGAAAAGTTTATGGCGTAATGCGTTTTTGGTGCAGTTTAGGAGAAAGATTCATCGGCCAGGGCAGGGCCCTATTCCAGAGGGAGAGTTATTGACCGCCACGGACGGACGGGAGCGTTTAAGTTTTGTCTTGGATTGGTAATATATTAATCGGTTTAAAACGTTCTACGTCTTCCAATTCCATCTCTCCATGCCTGTCTGTCTCTACGAATTCCAAAGCACGAACGAATCATCTTCCTAGGTGAGTTTAATGCCCTTGTTGGCAAACAACAGGAAATATGGCCTGAAGCATTGGAAAATATCGAATGGAAAACGTAAATAGCAATGGTGAACGCTTATTAACAACATGCGCAGAGTATAATCTCTGCATCACCAATACGTGGTTCATGTTGAAGGGCAAGTTTAAAGGTACCTGGAAACATTCCAGATCAGGCCACTGGCAACAATTGGACCACATAATCGTTCGAAGGAAGCATCTAAAAAATGTCAGACTTACAAAAGCCAGAATTGATGCCGAATGCGGCACTGATCACTGACTTTTAATTTCAAAAATGAAAATCCAGTTAAAACCCAAACATCCACACTGTAAAAAGGAAAACAACATGACCAGATTGAACGTACGCGGTCTAGAGGACAACAATACCGCCGACGCCCTCCGGGAAGCCATCAAAGAATCGCTTCCATCGATAACTCCAATCTCAATCTTGGAAGCTGAACAATGCTAGACACAATATTAAGGGATGCGATTCATAAGACCAGCGAAGCAGTACTGGGAAAGTCGAACAAAAAGAAACATCCAGACTGGTTTAACGAAAATCAGCCGCATATACAGGCTTTGTGGGACAAAAGCATAGAGCAGATCAAGCAGTCACAGCAAATACACACAATCCAAGACTGATAGACAACTTTAAAGTAGCTAACAACACTGGTGGTCACAAAAAGCGAATCAAATTCTCGCGATTCAGACGCTACGCATCACGATTATCGTAAATTCTTCGAGGAGGCTGTAAAAGAAGTATACTGTCCAACCAAGAAGGTAAGCTGCCCAATCATGGCACAAAAATCCCGCTTAAGATGGGCTGGTCACGTATGCCGAATGCCAGAAAACCGCATACCAAAAGCTCTGCTTTACGGTGAGCTTGTAGACGGTAAGAGGAAGCCGGATGGACAACTGAGAAGATACAAGTACATTTTGCACGAAAACTTAAAGGCAATTAACATGAAGAATGAGTGGGAGGAAGCAGCTCAATCAAGCAAACTCAATAGAGAAGAATTGTAAACTCAGTTGGTTAAACAGCGACAAACAAAAAGTAAAGAGGTAACAAAGCAATGAGATTTTGAATGTCCGGACAATCCCTTCCTGCCAACTTCTTCTCGGTCTACCCGGTTTTCTTCTTCCTGCAGGTTTCCAGTTTATAATTTGTTTTGGGATTTTTAATTCTGCCATTCTTTGGACACGCCCGTACCATATGAGTTGTCTGTTCTTTATCTCGTCCACTGTTGTATGTTTAACTTCCATAATCTGTCTTATGCGTTCATTAGTTATTCGTTCGAGTCTTGATTTGCCTGCTGCTCTCCTCAAAAAATCTATATCTGTATTGGTAATAAAAATCAATATATTTATCAATTTAAATTAATTCAAAGCTTCAATTGAAAAAAAAATTCTGCTGGCAAAAATATTTTCGAAGTGAAAAAATGAGTACCCTAAATCGATGGGCCGACGACTTACACAAAAAATACCAGCTGGATAATAAAAGTTCAAAACAAAGGGCAACAGAAACTCCTTAAAGAAGTCTAGTCCATTCTTTTTACGTCCAGGAGTGGTCGAATTTGAGTTTTACTATGATGATGATAATGATGTAGATGTAGAGGAAGAGCATAGATAGAGGAAGAACATAGATATACATATACAAGGGGAGGAAGTATTAGTAACGACGGATATGGTAAAAAACTATGAAACAACTAAAAAATGGTAGAGCATTAGGACCAGCGGGTATCAATTCTGAACTTATTAAATATGCTTCTGATGAACTAATAACATGTCTTACATATATTTTCAACAAATGTGTAAATGGCGAAGAGCCAGCAGATGAATGGAAAATAGCATACATAACATCTATCCATAAAAAAGGCGACAGCAAACAGTGCTCGAATTATAGGGGATTATCGGTAACAAGCACAATAAGCAGAATATATGGTAGATTATTAAGAGATCTAATTGAAGACGAATACAAAGATCAAGAAGAAGAAGAACAATCGGTTTTTAGAGCTGGAATATCCTGCACTTGTAATGTATTTTGTTTGAAACTTCTCATAGAAAAGAAAATAGCTATAAATGAAGATATACACCTAATGTTTGTCGATCTCCAGAAAGCTTACGATAGCGTCCCATAAAACTGCGGGAATCTCTTAAACTAACCAAATTAAATCACACACTTATAACACCAATACAAAATGTATATATAAATTCTTGTTCCTCAATAAAAACTGGCAATAAAATATCAAAACCATTTAAAATAACAAAAGGATTAAGACAAGAGTGTTGCCTGTCACCAACTTTATTTAAAATATACATTAACCAAGCTTTGAAGCAGTGGAAAAGCAAGTGTAGAGGCATGGGCATACCAATAAGTGAAGATTCTTGCTTATACCCTTTGAAATTCGCTGACGACCAGGTTATTTGTACAGGAGACAAAGATGACTTGTAATATATGACACGGAAACTTAAAGAGGAATACCAAGTTTGGGGACTGGAGATGAATATCATCAAAACTAAAGATCTCTGCATTGGATTGGATCAAACAGCAATAAACCTGGATAATGAATACATACAAATATATAACGAACAAATACCTAGGCGTTACTTTCGATAAATCCGGGAAAGACGACAACGAAATATGCTCGAGAATAGTCAAAACAAGAAATGCAATAAAATGTTTGAATAAGAATGAAAAACGGAGTAACGAAATAGGTAAAGACAGAAAACTAAGAATTTATGATGCAATAATCAAGAGCAATCTGTTATTTGGGGCGGAAACATGGAGGTTAACGGAGAATAACAAAAGAAAATTACTGGTGGTGGAAATGGACGCGATAAGGAGATCAGCACGAACATCAAGGCTGGATAGAGTACGAAACGAGACAATGAGGGATAAAATGGGTAGACAAAAAACTATAGTAGAGGAAATAGAGAGTGCCCAACTGAAGTGGTATGGACATGTAAGAAGGATGGACAACACCCGTCTGCCTCAGAAGGTACTAAACTGGCTTCCACAAAAGAGAAGGAAACGGGAAAGACCAAAGACAAACTGGATGGAAGGTGTCAAGAAGGCGATAAGCTCAAGGGATCTGCGTGACGGAGACTGGATTGAACGAAATCAATGGAGACTAAGCATCGCACAACGTCGAAGGACTTTTTAAAAGCGACTCTTATATATAATAAAAAATAGGGATTCCCATTTAAAATAAAAAAAAAATTGATGTCAACTTTCATTATATCGGGATGTGCCGCCACATGTAAAACAATGATGTGCCAAAAATCTCTTATCTAGATATTGTAGTTCTCTAGAAACATCTAATGAACTCTTAGCCTGGGACACCCTGTATATTTGATGATTTTTATTGATATCTAGTTAGTTTAAATCCCAAAATTAAAATATTTTGTGTTCCATTTATATCCATTTCTTATTTAAATCAATTGGTACATGATGTCAAATATCGAAACGACAAAAACTTTCACTATATTGATTAATAAAGAGACTTTTGCTATTGATTAATAAACACTTTTATAAATAAATAACTTAATAATTAATTACATTTTGCTGTAAAGGACAACATCCGTAAATATCAATAAAGAAAAATAGGATGGGGGCAATTTACATAGCTAAAGTGCACGGAAAATCCTTCTCCTTTGGATGTTTTTATAATGTCATCGGTGAAATACAGAGGACACAAACAATTTAATAGGGATGACATTGACGAATGTTTCCATTTTCTGTGCGAAAAGTTCAAAGGGTAATTGGGATTGCTCATGCGAAGATTCATTTGAGTGACGTCCTTACGAGTGCGTCGCAAAATAGAAATAAAATTGTTTTTAAAAACGTTTACATATTTCTTTTAATATATTTGCCTGTTGTGGCAAAGCAGGATTCGCCAAGCCTATCAATTTTGGTATTTTATTTTAAATCTAAGCAAGATCACATATGACTTAAAATAGAGCCTTAAGGGCTTAATTCAAATTCAAAAGAAAAAGTTAATTATCATATATGTTATAACATGCGAGTGACATACAAAATTTTATCCAACAGCAGAACTGTTTCATGTCCAATCTCTAAAGAATAATTGATTTAAAAGGATCTACCAGTTCTACTTTCATTGTTGCGAATTAATAAATTATCAGGGTGCGTTTATGTTACTTTGCAATATAGATGTGCGTTTTTTTTTTTGTAAATATTATATAATATATATTTAGAAAAATTGCGATTTTTCAACGATAAAATAGTGAATTATCAACCAGCAAGTCAGATTTTAAAGAAAAATGATTCAGGAAGATCTTCCGCAAGTACTGGGGCCTACAACATCCTGAGCAATACACTGGCCATTGTATGATAAGATCATCCGCTACATTACTGGCAAATGCAGGAGTGAACATGACAACATTAAAAAGACACGGAGGATGGCGATCTGCAACGGTTGCTGAAGGACATATCGAAGAGTCCATCAACAACAAAATAGAGATAGCGAAAAAAATTCAAGGTGCTGTAAGTGTTCCAGAACGAGTCGTTGTAATGACAGAGTCTATTTCAAGCAGTGGAGGGACAGCATCTGGACACATACAAGGTTTTACAATTTTTGAATCTACAAAAAGAATCATTTTCATTTAATATTAATGTTAATTTAAATAAAAAATTTCGATCAACTATCGGTGTCAAATACCCCACTGTGAGACGGACAGACGATCATTTTAATACAAATTTTAACATTGTACAGGGTGGGTCAAATTCGACGCTTTTAAATGGAAACACCCTTTTCTATCGGAGATAGAGAAAAACTAATATCGGTGTCTGGAGCTCAATTTTTGTCAAAAATATGATGGGGAAAACCGCATATCAATATCTGTTACCGTTTCGGAGTTACGTTTTTTTTTCAAAAATATGCATTTTTAACAAATCGCCTTAACTTTTTTGCTAGGGAAAATTTTGTATTTTTATGAAAACATTTCCAACGCACCTTTTTACATAGAATTTAATGGTTTAAGTATACTTTTTTTTAAATTAATAATTTAAGAATTATCAACAGAAAATTTGATTTTTTATATGGGACACCCTATATATTTTTAATTTATTGAAAAGAATTTAAAATTACCTTTCCAAAAATATAACACACTTGATATTTTCCTCGATTCCCCGATGATAGAGTATATAAAAATTCGCCCGCATTAAATAAGTAGGCTTTGAACGGCACCGGCTGTAATGCAAAAAAAAATCTAGCTGTGATCATCAATTAAAACGAAAATAATATTTGCTATGAGAGATGCAGAATTTTACTATGACAATTTAAAATACATTTAACCAACATCAACACATTTAACTTTATCTAATAACAATAAAAATAAATAGCAAACCAAAACATGAAATTTTGCTACAATAGGTGTTCGACATATCGACCGTCTTCTGTTATGGACAGACGGGGCAGTTTTTCAAAATTTCTCGCGGAATTCATTAACTTAGTAGGGGTGAAAGATACCCTTTCATAACTGCTAAGTATTTCTAATTATTCTTGTCTAGATTAAACGGAAGAATAAGGAACCTTTATTCTTCTGCAAATATATCCATAGGATTAGATCCATGGGCACTAAGTGAGGCGGCCTCTCGACGGCCAACGGCTGGGATATTGGTTAGCTATTCAATTATTCTTGAAATTGGCTGCAAAAATTTCCTGATAACTTCAGCGTTCAGAGGCGGTTCGTCCGTCGTCTCCCTGGAAAAATATGTTTTCAAGTTCCATTAAGGCCATATCATCAATAAGGGGTCCAACGCCTACTAGTTAAAAGTGGGGAACTTTTAAAAATTCTGTATTTCGAAGGGGATTATAACAAAATATCAAGTGTGCTATATTTTTGGAAAGGTAATTTTAAATTATTTTCAATAAATTAAAAATATACAGGGTGTCCCATATAAAAAATCAAATTTTCTGTTGATAATTCTTAAATTATTAATTTTAAAAAAATTATATTTACACCATTAAATTCTACGTAAAAAGGTGCTTTGGAAATGTTTTCATAAAAATAGAAAATTTTCCATAGCAAAAAAGTTACAGCGATTTGTTAAAAATGCACATTTTTGAAAAACACCCCGTAACTCAGAAACGGTAACAGATTAATTATTAATTAATTTTACAGAAATTATGTACGGTCTTCACCATCATGTTTTTGATGAAAATTGAGCTCCAGACACCGATATTAGTTTTCGTCTATTTCCTACAGAAAAGGGTGTTTCCATTTAAAAGCGTCGAATTTGACCCACCCTGTACAGTAACCCTGACTAGTACTTAAGGGGTAGTTTTGGATCTAGTGAGTTAATGACTAATGAAAGGTACAATTCGAGATGTGGTGTAAAATTTCAACATTAAATCATCATCAGAATACTTCTAAATAATTTTATAATTATTTTTTTTATAAAACAGTCAAACAATATTCTGTTGTAACATTAATAAATATTTAACACCGCTAATATTTACTTAAAAAAATATGTATGCAACATGGTTTATTATTTAAGAATGATCTGTAATAACATGGCAACGCATCTCAACTGATTGTTTCCTATTCGGATCGGGTATTTTGTCGAAACAGGACGCCTGTTCCATATCACTCCAAACCGTCTGTATTAAGACAAGCAAAAAATGTAAATTATCGCATACGTCATCGTAAATAACTACATTTTATTGAAGTGTTTAAGTGAAATATATTTTATGGTATTTATAAAAAGAGTCGGATTTATTTAGAATGTTGGAAAAGCGTTATAAATCGCGCTTGCTATCGACTTATTTATGTGCTCGTCGATGGAGGATGTTGCACGCGTTGCTCGCCGCCTGCCATGGGAGTAGGACGAGGAGAGAGACTTTGAATTTTTATCGGGAGCACGGCTTGGTGAGACTGGTATGATCGAAACGTCGTAAATAAGAAGTGCATGCTTTATAGAAAGGAATGTGCAACGAGATTTTGAGAGGTCGCACATAAATAAGAGACAGCCACGTGTAAAAATACGAACTAGCTTCACACAGTTTTGGTGTTAATGCTTAGAGAAAATGTCCTTTTACAAGAAACGGATTTTAAAACTTTTTAAGTATTCAATTCAAAAATACTTTATTGTTAAAAAATATATAAATTTTTGTTAACAAAGCATAATATTCCTAAATCTAAACCTAAAACATTTATTGCCAGCAATCCCAACATCAAAAGCCAGTTTCATGAAAAGTAAACAAATGAGTGCAAATATAAAAACAAAAAACAAAAAATTTGCATAAATATAAGATTGAACAATCAGCAAAATAGGTTTAAACAACTAAGTAAAATAACATACAATATACAGAACAAATATAAGATAAAAAATTCTAAATTCTAAACACTAATATCAAGGGTGTCCCGGTAGAATTCGTCAACGCTGTAAAATGCCCTACTCAAAAGTTCTTTTTTCAGTAGCCTCCGGAAGGTTTTTATGGAATTAACCAATCTTAACGCTACCGGCAGATGATTAAAGACCTTTCGGCCCTCATATATTATAGATCTTTTGACCAAGGTGCTATTTGGAAGTGGCAAGGGCAGACTCAGGGTTTGGCGGGTAACAATATTGGGTATAGGACCCTTTAGTCTGTTACGATTTTTAAAAATAAGGGATGATGTTTCCAGAATAAAAAGAGATGGTAGAGTAAGAATTTTTTGAACTTTGAAGTGTTGTCTACAGGATTCGTTATGTGGTACATTTACAATAAATCGTACGGCCTTTTTTTGTAAAATAAAAAGAATGTTTAGTAGACCCTGATTAGCTACACCCCAGAATGGTATTCCATACCGGAGATGAGACTCAAACAAACTAAAATAGACCGTCCTTGCCACTTGTGAACCCAGTTCTCTTCCCTAATTGCCCTAACAGCAAAGCATCCAGAAGACAACTTGCCACTTAAGGCCAGAATATGGTCTTCAAATCGCAGATTTCCATCAATAATAATTCCCAGGAATCTAGTCGCAGGAATTCCTGTAAGCAAACCCCCCTCGAAATGGAGATTTGCGATGTCACATCTAAGCCCAACAACATGTGTCTTGGATAAATCTAAACAAAGGTGATTTGAGTTAAACCACTCTTTAATGAAGGATAAGTCCTTGCTTATGATTCACTTAAGATGCTCAATGTTCTTGGCCTGCC